CTATATGATCTAGCCATTGCACTGCTAGGTATTTATGCAAAGGAAAGAAAGCATAAGTCTATACAAAGACTTGTACACGACTGTTCAAAAACAGCTTTATTTGTAATAGTAAAAGAAAGAACTCAAATGTCCATCAACAGGTACATGGCTTAACAAGTTTATCTAAACATACAATGAAATACTACTTAGCAATATAAAGGAGGAAATTATTGATGCAGAAAACATGGATGAATCAAAATAATTACTAGTGAAAGAAATAAGACAAAAACAGTATAAAGTGTATACAATTGCATGCATACAAAAATCTAGAAAAAACAAAGTAATCTATAGTGACAGAAATCCAAGAAGGGGGAAGGACTGGCTGAGTGCCATGGCTCATGCCTGTAATCCCAGCACTTCGGGAGGCCAAAGCGGGTGGATCACTTGAGGTCAGGAGTTCGAGACCAGCCTGGCTAACATGGTGAAACCCTGTCTCTGTTACAGATACAAAAATTAGCCAGGTGTGATGGTGCACACCTGTAATCTCAGCTACTTGGGAGGCTGAGGCAGGATAATTGCTTGAACAGGGGAGGAGAAGGTTGTAGTGAGCCAAGATCATGCCACTGCACTCCAGCCTGGGTGACAGAGCTGGATTCTGTTGAACTAAAAAAAAAAAGAAGGAAGAAGAAAAAAAGACGGGGGAAGAACTGGAGGGAATTACACAGCAGCACTGAATATGTTCACCATTTTGATTTTGGTGATGGTTTCATAGGTGTATACTGAAAGGAACATAAAAATCTTAAAACCCCCAAACTCATTATGCCAAAGGGAAATTTAAGCCTGGTTACTTCAAAACCTTGTGTCAAAGTGCTATACATTAGCCAGATCCCTAACAAAAGGAAAGAGTCTCAGGTATCTCCAGATGACTGCCCTCACAATTGCTCATAAAAAAATTCTTTCCTGGCTCCTAAACCTTTCAAGGTGTATAATAAATCCTTCCATAAACAAGGACATGTCAATTGTCACTTTCAGTCTGCAACTTAAGTCTAATTCCTTGTCCAGGAACCTAAAGTCTGGTAAATTTCACACTGAGGGTGTCAGTTATAAGCTTTATCTTCCCAAGTATAAAACAAAGGCAAGATGAGATCCATTATTCTTCTCCCTATCCTGAGAAGTCTGCATAATGAATTCTTCCTTTCCTCCCTATTTTTGAATGTTTGCCTTAGCTCATGTATAGCATGGATTTACTGGGCACCAATTAAAATTTCACAAGAATGTCATCATTTGCTTCGCTGCCTATCTCTCTTTTCTATATGCCTTTTCTCTTAAAGAAATATGTAAACACCAAGTCCCCTGAAACCCCTCGCAAGGAGCACAGGCCATAGACTCACGTTTCTGTGACTCAGGGATTTCCTGGGCACACCTTCAAGCTCTGGCTCAGTAGACCTGGATTGATTGAGACTCTTGCCTCAGCCTCTCATTTGCATTGACAACACATATGTCAGGACGTTAGATTGCATTCTGTAAACATGCAAAATTGCCAATGCAAAACTGTCAAATATACCTCAATAAAGCCGTTAAAATTAAATTTTAAAAATGACATACTGATATGTAATGTTTGTTATTTTCATTTATTTGCCTTTTCTTTCGTTTAACAGAGTTTATTGAGTGTCTAACTATTGTGCTGGAGGCTGAAAGAGGAATGAAATGGTCTGCTTTCAAATCTAAGCGATGCCAGTTCTCCTTGATATTCTTGTTGAACATGCCCATAGGAAGCTAAGAATAGAGGAAGATGAGTGTGTAGGCTGGTGTGTTGGGGAAGACTTTTCAGAGGACCTTCACTTTGAGCTGAGTTTTGAAGTATGAGGAGGTGCTTTGGACAGTGAGGAGCGGTTGTGGGTGAGAGGCAGTGGCAGTTTTCCATCTTCAACAAGGCCTAGGGATGAGAGAACAAGGTGCTGTAGGAGGAGAAGAGGCAGGATAGGTTAAGTCGGGACTGATCAGCAAGGGCCTGGAAAGCTGTGGTCAGGAATCTGGCTCTCCCGCTGAAGGTCTGGGGAGCAAGAGCAGGTTTTAAGCAAGGGAGAACACATTCAGATAGCCTGGTGATTAACAGCACAGGCCAGTCGAGTTGAGCAAGAGAAACCATCCTGCCCTTAGGTTGGCTATCATTATGGTTAAACAAGTTTATTTAATTAGTTTCCAAGTCATGCTGAGAGCTCATCCTTAATCATATTCAGATGTTCCAATTCTTTCCGTCCCTGCTGCAGTTACCTTAGTTCTGCCTCCATTATTTGCTTCGATTACCTTAATATCCTCCAATGGCGGTTTTCTTGTTTTCAGTCTTGCCTCCTTCTAGACTCTTTGCTACCTGCAGCATAAAACATTTTTCTAAAATTCAAGTCTGATCCTCTCACCTTTAACTGAAAGCCTGATCTGCTGCTCATCAACACCATCTCTGTGTTTCAATAATGATCATCACTGCAATAGCACACTTAGCTATTCCTACTATATGCCAGGAACTCTGCTAAACACCCCGTGCTTTTATTTTATTAAATCTTCCCAAAACATTATTATTATCATCACTAGTTTATAGATGAAGAAACTGATTATTAGGAAGGTTTAGTAATGTATCCAAGATTATATAGGTAATAAGTGTAATTGAATAACTTGTCAAAAACCAAAAAACTCTTAAAGTTGGGTAGGGAATATAATTTTTTTTTTGAGATGGAGTCTAGCTCTGTTGCCCAGGCTGGAGTGCAGTGGCACTATCTGGGCTCACTGCAACCTCTGCCTCTTGGGTTCAAGCGATTCTTGTGCCTCAGCCTCTCGAGTAGCTGGGATTACTGGTACCTGCCACCACGCCCAGCTAATTTTTGTATTTTTTAGTAGAGATGGAGTTTCACTGTGTTGGCCAGGCTGGTCTCAAACTCCTGACTTCATGATCTGCCCACCTCGGCCTCCCAAAGTGCTGAAATTACAGGCATGAGCCACCGCCCAACTGGGAATATTTGCACCTGCAAGAGGGACTAATTATTAGAGAACTGGCTTTTTAAACAAAAATATAGGGCAGGTATTTGAAGTAAAAAATCACAAGGATAGACAACAGCTCAAATTGTTATCAGTTACCAAGGCAGATTGGATGTGTGTGGGTCAATTTTGTTAAAATCTAGATGGTCTTTTCTATTAAAAAAGTTACAACACATCAACACCAAGCAACAGAAAAGAAAATCCATATGTCCCCGTTTTTCGTGGTACATCTGGGATTATAGGAAGGGTAGGCCTTTTCTAGACTATGGAATCTAAATTTCAAGAAAAAATCATTGGCTGGGTGCAGTGGCTCACGCCTGTAATCCCAGCACTTTGGGAGGCTCAGGAGGGTGGATCACGAGGTCAGGAGTTCAAGACCAGCCTGGCCAACATAGTGAAACCCCATCTGTACTAAAAATACAAAAAAATTTAGCCAGGTGTGGCAGGCTCCTGTAGTCCCAGCTACTTGGGAGGCTGAGGCAGGAGAATTGCTTAAACCCAGGAGACAGAGGTTGCGGTGAGCCAAGATCATGCCACTGAATTCCAGCCTGGGTAACAAAGTGAGACTCTGTCTCAAAAAAAAAAAAAAAAAAAAAAGAAAAGAAAAAGAAAAAAATATCATTTAAGCTGCAATATAAAGAATAGTCTTGAGGAAGGCAGAATAGACCAGTTATAGGAACCCAGGCAAGCCATTATAATGCCAAACTAAGGCAATGGCAGGAGGGATGGAAAGAACTAGACCAGTTTTAAAAAGAGTATGGAACAGGAATGGCATGCTGCAGTCCCTTCAGCCAAGTTGCAAGTTTTGAATAAGGAGTTATCCAAACATTATCAAATGCATCCTCAGTGATGACTGACTACCAAGCTTTTTACTAGAAACCCTCTTTACAAAAGAGGGTTCTCTCTGGTTTCTCAGGCAGCAACTGGGATGTTCAAACTATTCATTGGGATAGAACACAGAAGCTGGTTAATAACAATATTTCTTAGACAAATTGATCTTGAACATGCATCAAGGTTCACTGCCTTGCAGGAGAATCGGAGAGTGTGTGATAATGAAAAGTTATTATAGTTGAGAAAACAAGAGTTTACATCAGCAACTAAGAAAAAAACAGCTCATAAGTGGATGAATGTGTCATAAACACATTATATATGAGTTATCATGTAGGAAATCAAAAGAATACTGTGTAATGCAAGGTGTGTAGCTTATCAACAATAATATAGCAAATACGCTACTCAACTAAAGGAAATGATAAGTCGGCATCTGGGGCTGTTGACTGGAATAACGAAGTTTCCTTTCCTTGCAGTAGTTCCTCAGGATTCTAGTTTACATGGAAAGACAGAAAGTTGTTATACCCATCGCAGGAACAGAACACCCAAGCAACAAATTCTAATTTTGAATAGGCGGGTGCCAGTGCATTTCTCAAACTGCAGACTAAGATGCAGAAACACGATTTTCCTGTTGTTTAGTTTTGGACCACTTTCCCCCCTCTAGCACTCCACAGCAGGTTTTAATTGTTGTCAGGTGAGATGGTGAGTTAACTTTGAGTGTTGAGTTGAGGGGACAGTGGGATGTGAGTCCAGTTGAAAGGTGGATATATATAGATCCAGACTCGAGTGATTTAGGTTGCAAATAAATTGATAGTCCATTTATGAAAATTATTAGAAAAGAAAGGACATTCATTATGATTTAATCGCAGTTGAATGTAGGCAGCACAAAGGGCTTATACTGTGTCTTTTTTTTTTTAATACACTGTGTCTATTTTGTTCACCACTCTATGCCCGGTGCCTGGAAGTGCGACTGGCACACAGTAGGTGTTGCATACATACATAGTTTCAGAATGAGTTTTTTAGAAATCAAAGTTCGACAAACAGTGCACATGAATTTAACGTTCCCTTTTTTTCCAGGCGAGGTCAGGGCGCCCTTCGGTTTCGCGCTTCTACCCCTTTAAGAAAGTGGAGGAGAAAGAAAGCGCTGCTGGGAAAGAGGGCGGGGCCACGAGGGGCCGCGGGCCTCCCCGCCCCCGCCCGGGCTGCCGCCGTCTGCTAGCGCGTGGTTCGTTTTTGGGAGCGGGGACCTGAAAATGTCAAGAATAAGTGGGCAGAGTCGCTAGGGCGAGTGACAGGCGAGCCCTGTTCTTTACTTCCGAGGGCGGTGTCAGCAAAGCTAGGTAAGGAGACAGACAGGACGGTGACTGCCCCTTTAAGATCGACTCCACCCCGCCTCTGGAGGAGAATGACGCCATCGTCTGCACTTTCTGGAATAAACCTTTTCATCCCGCTCTTTCTCATTAACAGAAATACCAAGTGGCTACCATAGTCACATACTTCATAACCCATGCCTCATTGGTGCTGGAGCGGGAGAGGGAAGCTCCGGTCTAAATGACATGGGGTCCAAATCCAAAATAATCTCATACTTGCTCTGGGTTACTTTGAAACCTTAGGCTGTTGTGTGATTCAAGTGACAGGCTGGTACTGCTTAACAGAATTAGTCTAATGGGATACCAGGCCCAAAGAGACCCCTGCGCTCCCGGGACATTGTTGTGGGGTAACTAACCCACCCCCTGAAAGTCTCCGCTTTCACAAGCTAGGACCTGACGTACATTTTGGCCTGCCCCATTTTGATCCTTGAATGAGCTGCTGATGTTTAAAAGAGGAAGCTGGCCAGGTGTGGTGGCTCCCTCCTGTAATCCCAGCACTTTGGGAGGCCTAGGCGGGCAGATCACTTGAGGTCAGGAGTTCCAGACCAGTCTGGCCAACATGATGAAACTTCGTTTCTACTAAAAACACAAAAATTAGCTGGGCGTGGTGGCACGGGCCTGTAATCTCACTACTCGGGAGGCTGAGGTAGGAGAATCGCTTGAACCAGGGATGTAGTGACCCGAGATCGGGCCACTGCACTCCGACCTGGGCGACAGAGACTGTCTCAAAAAAAAAGGAAGCCAACATGTCAATATCTACATTTTTTTTTTTTATGATTTTGAGAAATTGGAGGATCCAGCAGCATGTTCCCGCCCGGCCCTTTTGAACTGTTTGAAAATAGTCTCCAGCTTGCCACAGCCCCTCTGTTATTTTACAGCCTACATCACTCATGATGTCCAGCCCCTTGTAGGCCTTTGGATTTTTGACCCTATTCTAAATACTTCAGTGGATTTAAGACTATTTAAAACATGTATACAGAAGAGATCCGAGGTCCCCAAACAACTGGGTGTATAAGTTGTGTTTAAGTTGCTGTTCCTCATTGTCATTTATTCTTAACCAGGTGTTTTTCTATACATATACATATATATATATATTTAAAACGAGTCTTAGTGATCTATTGCATGGGTGTTTTTCTATTGGAGCAAATCTTTTCAGTTTAGGCTTGGTAAAATTGAACTGTCAGATACTTTTACAAAAAGAGATTTAGGAGTTGATGTTCTTTTATGATATGACAATCTTTAATGAAATAGTCTATATAATTTGTATTAATGTATCTCTGCCCATAGACAATAGACAATTACAGTTCGTTACCCCCCAGAACTCTTGGCTCGACTTCATAAAGGCAAAAACTGTCTGCCAGGTTAACTACTTTATCCCACCACTACAATATAAGTTTCCTGAAGACAGAAGACTTCTGTTATTTTGTACAGAATTACCAAGCATGCCTACTTTGTTAAATTTATGAAAGAACTTTAAAGGTACAATTGGCCCACAATATAAACAATGTAACAACATAGCAATATAAAATAACAATACAACAATAAAAAAAAGCACAAAAATACAGTGTAACAACTATTTACATAGCATTTACATTGTTGTATTATGAGTAATCCAGAAATGATTTAAAGTACAGTATACCACAGCATATGCCTAGTTTGTATGTAAATATGATGTCATTTTATATAAGCGACTTGAGTATCCTCTGATTGTGGTATTCTGGAAGCAAGGGATACTGGAACCAATCCCTTGAGGATACTGAGGGATGACTGTGTCCCTGATTTCATGTAAGAGACATTTTCTTGAGGATTCTTTCAAAATCAAATGCTTGTATATTTGTTGTGTTAAATAACTAAAAGGATTCTCTTGTGAAAAGGTATCATTTAAAAAGACTGGATTTTCAGCCAGGCAAGGGTGGCTCACACCTGTAATCCCAGCACTTTGGGAGGCTGAAGCAGGCAGATCACCTGAGGTTGGGAGTTTGAGACCGGCCTGACAAACATGGAGAAACCCTGTCTCTACTAAAAATACAAAATTAGCCATGTGTGTTGGCGGTCACCTGTAATTGCAGCTACTCAGGAGGCTGAGGCAGGAGAATCCCTTGAGCCTCGGAGGTGGAGGTTGCAGTGAACCAAGATCATGCCATTGCACTCCAGCCTGGGCAACAAGAACGATACTCTGTCTCAAAAAAAAAAAAGATTGGATTTTCCCAAATTGATGCACCAAAGCTTTCATCTGAAATGAACTTGCACATGTGAATCATCAGATACAGAGCTTATACTGTAATATTTTCTAATTATATCATAGGTTCTAGAAATGTTGCTCTTCCTCAGAATTTTCTTTCTTTCTTTCTTTTTTTTTTACAGAGAGCAAGAGATCCCACTTGAGATCAGGGTGGGAGACAAACCCTTGTTAATTCTCCATGAGGAGCAGCCATTATCAATAGAACATTGACGGAACTTCGTTTGGGAAAAGGACTGATGGCTCTGAGTCTAGGTTGGAAAGCACCCAGGAGCCGCTGTGGTCTCCTCCTGCAGGCTGTGCAAAGCAGTGGTCTTCTCTTGTTTCCCTGTGGCCGGTGTCCCTGGAGAGGAGCTGGAAGCTTTTCAGACCCTGAAAAAAAGGCCTTCCTGGAGGAGAACACTGAAGTCACCAGCAGTGGCAGCCTCACCCCTGAAATCCAGTTGCGGCTTTTGACCCCCAGATGCAAATTCTGGTGGGAGAGAGCTGACCTGTGGCCCCACAGTGATCCTTACTGGGCAATCTACTGGCCAGGAGGCCAAGCCCTGTCTAGGTACTACCCTATCGAAATGGGAACCTTTAAGGCTGCTATAGATCTTTGCCCTTTTCAGTCCCCTCTAACTCCAGCCCCTACAAAAAAAAAAAAAACAGAACAATGCTGGGCATGGTGGCTCATGTTTGTAGTCTCAGTTCTTTGGGAGGCTAAGACTGGAGGATTGTTTGAGCCCGGGAGGTTGAGGCTGCAGTAAGCTGTGATCATGCCACTGCACTCCTGCCTGGCCTATCTCAAAAACAAAACAGCAACCAAAAAGTCTTCTTATTTTCTTTCCTTTTTTTGGGGGGGGGGGGGCGCAGAGACAAGATCTTGCTATGTTGCCCAGGCTGGTTTTAAACTCCTGGCCTCCTCAGCCAACCCCAATTGCTGGTATTACAGGCATGAGCCACTGAGCCTGGCCTTATTTTCTTATGTATAGCAGTTTAGCCATAATTTTTGGTTGCTTTGTTGCATAATTTCCCCTTGTAACCCAAGCCTATCAAGGTATTTTCCCAAGTAGCTATCTCCCCATGAGAAATCCTAGAGTCAACTGTCAAGAGCCTGGATAGCTATACATGATCCAGAAATCTCACCTGTTATGAGGTTCATGGTTCATAGTGCATGACTATTGCAGAGTTCCTAGATGGAACCTAAACCCCCAGTCCTTCAGCTCTCCTTTAATTCAGTGAATGTCACTCCATCAACCTCACATTCCTTCCAGTGTTGCTTCTTTTCTCATAGAATAGTAGCTGTGAGTGTGTGCTGCTCAAAGATTCCCTCTTCTACTGGGTGCAGTGCATGTAATCCCAATGCTTTAGGAAGCTAGTGCAGGAGGGCAGCTTGAAGTCAAGAGTTCAAGACCAGCCTAGGCAACATGGTGATACCCCATCTCTACAAAAAACCTTTTTTCAAATTAGCCAGGTGTGTCCTGTGTAATCTGAGTAACTCAGGAGGCTGAGATGTGAGGATCACATGAGCCTAGGATTTCTAGGTTACAGTGAGCTATGATTGCGCCATTGCACTCCAACCTGGGCAATAGAGCAAGACCCTGTCACCATTTTTAAAAGAAGAGGCTGGGTGTGGTGGCTCACTCCTGTAATCCCAGCACTTTGGGAGGCCGAGGTGGGTGGATCACCTGACGTTGGGAGTTCAAGACCAGCCTGACCAACACGGGAAACCCTGTCTCTACTAAAAATACAAAAATTAGCCAGGCATGGTGGCTCATGCCTGTAATCCCAGGTACTGGAGGCTGAGGCAGGAGAATCACTTGAACCTGGGAGGCAGAGGTTGCAGTGAGCCAAGATCATGCCATTGCACTCCAGCCTGGGCAACAACAGCGAAACTCCATCTCAAAAAAAAAAAAAAGGAGAAAAAAATATCCCTTTTCTCTAGAGGCTTATGGAAAACTTGGGCCAACTCTGGACTTGAATCTGTATTTTAAGCCCCACTCCCTGCCTTCTCTCCCATATTGCAGAGGTCTTAGGGCATTTTCTGGCATAGCCACACTGTACTTTTTATTGAAACACAGTTGTTGAAATAAAGGCAAGACCTTTTAGCATTTTGATCTGGTCTTTGTTGTAGGATTGGTAAATGATTTCATCTGTTTATGCCCTGGGGTTATAAAGCTGTGGAACAAAAAAAAATGTGATAAGGACTTCTGTTTCACAGGAATGGTATAGCCCATATAATTAGTGTTATATGTAGTTTTATTTATTTATTTTTTATATGTAGTTTTAAATTAAGTGTATAAATGCAAACATAGAGCTTTTTGGGGGAAATTCCAAGAAATGGAAAGCTTTCCAGTTGGTACAAAATAATGCCAATTTTCTGATTGTTATGTTACTAGACGTTCAAGCTTTATTTAGTTACATCCTATTTTTAGGATGCAGACATCTTGATGTCTGTCTATTAAAGTGACTGTTTATCAACTTGAGATAAAATCAACTTCTTTAAGAGACTGAATTAGGTGTCATAAATTGGTGACTCATAGGTGTGTTTTGTTTGGCCTGTACTTGTAAACTGCAAAAAAATTAGTTGCTGATATTTAAAACTGGAGAGATTTCATGTAAAAATCGACTTAGCTTTGAAAAACAGGGATACCTGGTAAGCAGGGATTCTGCGTGGCAACTGTGAGCTGAAGACAGGTAGCAGCTGTTTATTTATTTAGAGACGGAGTTTTTGCTCTTGTCACCCAGGCTGGAGTGCAATGGCGTGATCTCAGCTCACGCCACCTCCTGGGTTCAAGCACCTCTCCTGCCTCAGCCTCCTGAGTAGGTGGGACTATAGGTACCCACCACCATGCCCAGCTAATTTTTGTATTTTTTATTTAAAAAAAAATTTTTGAGATGGAGTATTGCTCTGTCACCCAGGCTGATATCGGCTCACTGCAACCTCCTCCTCCTGCGTTCAAGTGAGTCTCCTGCCTCAGCCTCCCGAGTAACAGGACTACAGGTGGATGCCACCATGCCTGGCTAACTTTTGTATTTTTAGTAGAGATGGGGTTTTGCCATGTTGGCCAGACTGGTCTCCAATTCCTGGCCTCAAGTGATCCGCCTGCCTTGGCCTCCTGAAGTTGTGGGATTACAGGGGTGAGCCACCATGCCCAGCCTACAACTTTTTTTTTTAATTGACTTGACTTTAATTGATTGGTCAGTTGTGTGGTACTATGCTGAAGAGAAAGACCAAATGACTAGGTTATTTCTTTTGCCACCTCTGCCCAGCTCTGGAGATGGACTTTTTGTGTCACTCTAGTCAGACCAAACTTGCCAAGGTTGGACCAAGTTCTTCTGCTAAGTTCCACTATTTCTTTTGTCAAGTCAGCCTAAAGACATCTGTTTTCTTTCCTTTTCTTTTTTTAGATGCCTCTTACCTTTTCTCATCTCTCTGAGACATGTTTCTCCTTTCTTTTTAATTTAGGTATCTTTTGGATAATCCTGATGTTGTCAGAAGAAAATCTGTATTAGATCTTGGGAGTGGATGTGGAGCTACAGCTATTGCTGCGAAGATGAGTGGGGCATCAAGGATCTTGGCCAATGACATAGACCCTAGTAAGGATTCATATTTTACAATATTTAAGGCTCATCTTTTTTTTTCCCCTCCAGGATAAATGTATACATATGCTTAGTGTGGTAGCTTATCTAAGCTACATGTATTTTGTGATTCCTATAGATAATGTCCCAGTACATACAGATACTTGTGAATCTGTATGTACTGGGACATTATCTATAGGAATCCTCTCAGGTCTGAGTTGATGGTACATTTTACCCAAGAGGATTTATGTCTGCCAGACATCCTGGTGGGAACACTTAATGTATTGGCTAGGAATTTCCTGAAATATGTAAATGGTGTTTATTTGGCTGGGCACGGTGGCTCACACCTGTAATCCCAGCGCTTTTGGAGGCTGAGGTGGGCAGATCACGAGGTCATGAGTTCGAGACCAGTCTGACCAACATAGTGAAACCCCATCTCTATGAAAAATACAAAAATTACCCGAGCGTGATGGCATGCACCTGTAATCCCAGCTACTCAGGAGGCTGAGGCAGGAGAATCGTTTGAACCCGGGAGGCAGAGGTTGCAGTGAGCCGAGATCGCACCACCGCACTCTAACCTGGGTGGCAGAGCAAGACTCTGTCTCAAAAAAAAAAAAAAAAAAAAGGAAATAGTGTTTATTTAACCCCAAACCCAAGTGAGTATTGGCCTGTCTTCAAGGGTGATTTTTATTCCATTAGAATCCAGGTTGAGTCAGGTAAGTTTTTATTTGATCTGATTTTCTTCTTGTCTACCCTTTCACTGAGGATATAGCCCTTGGAAACCTTTATTTTATAGAGGGGTCTCAGTTCTGATTTATTGCCAGGCTCAATCAAGCCCAAGGCTTGTTTCCCTGTCCACAGTGAAAAACCAAAATCTCTTGGTGAATGAGATCAGCAAATGTTCCTAAAATCCTGGCATTTCTAGATGTTTTAGATTGTTTTGTTTTCAGGATATCTAGTCATATATTTGGAAATTGCAGCACAGCTTATGTTGGCATAAACTTTACACTTCTTTAAAAAACAACTTTCAACAAAAAGGGAGAAAAATATATTAGCAAATTTTCTAAATTATTTAATCAGGGAATTATAACAGCACAATTCATTTTGTGCTTTTATTTTTAAGTTGCAGGAATGGCTATTACACTAAATTGTGAATTGAACCAACTGAATCCTTTTCCTATTTTAATCCAAAACATTTTGAATTTGGAACAAGATAAGTGGGACCTTATTGTTCTTGGCGATATGTTTTATGATGAAAACCTTGCAGATAGTCTTCATCAGTGGCTGAAGAATTGCTTCTGGACCTATGGAACTCGAATACTGATTGGTGACCCTGGGCGGCCCCAGTTCAGTGGACACAGCATTCAGCACCACCTGCACAAAGTGGTAGAATATTCACTTCCGGAGCCTACAAGGCAGGAAAACAATGGACTGACAACAAGCACAGTGTGGGATTTTCAGCCTTGAGTTGTCAAAGTGCTTCCAAGTATGAATATAGTAATGTTTGAATTTGATCCTAAAAGTTTTCTCTATAGGAGATACTCTCCAGGTTAATAAATGTAATTCTCGTTAAATGGCAAATCTTGTTTCTAAATATGAAGGTTTAGAGTTTAGTCTACTTTTGTCATGTAACTGGTTCTGCATTTCTGTGCATGCCAATTATACACATCTCTATCTGCAATTTTTTCTATTTTAACTGCTGAAGGAATATGATTATACAATGCCATACTCATTGGTGGCAGCATTTAAGTAATGGAGAGGAATTAGACATTGTAGCCATTTCTATAGTTGAGGGCAGCTGTGATGTAACTTTGAATTAAACAAAACAAAACATAGAAGAATACTATATATGTATTTTTTCTTTTTTTAGAGACGGAGTTTCACTTTGCTCCCAGGCTGGAAAGCAGTGGCTATTCAGAGGCTTAATCATTGGGCACTGCAGCCTGGAACTCTGGGCTTCTTTTTTTTTTTTTGAGATGGAGTCTCACTCTGTCACCCAGGCTAGAATGTAATGGTGCCATCTCAGCTCACTGCAGCCTCCGCCTCCCAGGTTCAAGCATTTTTCCTGTCTCAGCCTCCCGAGTAGCCAGGATGATAGGTATGTGCCACCATGCCTGGCTAATTTTTGTATTTTTAGTAGAGACAGGGTTTTCGGGAGGCGGAGGTTGCAGTGAGCCAAGATCGTGCCACTGCACTCCAGCCTGGGCAACAGAGTGAGACTGTCTCAAAAAAAAAAAAAAAAAAGAGAGACAGGGTTTCACCATGTTGGCCAGGCTGTTCGTGAACTCCTGACCTCAGGTGATCCACCCACCCTGGCCTTCCAAAGTGCTAGGATTACAGGTGTGCACCACCATGCCTGGCCTGACAATGTTTTTTATTTCTATCACTTCCTTTTGATTTTTTCTTATAGCTTCTATCTCTGCTTATGTCACCCATCATTCTTGCATGTTGTATGCTTTTCCAATAGAGCCTTTTGCATGTTAATCAGTTATTTTACATTTGTGATCTGATAATTCTAAAATCTCTGCCATATCTGAGTCTGGTTCTGATGCTTGTTTTGTCTTTTCAGACATTTTGTCTTTTAGCATGCCTTGTAATTTTTTGTTGATAGCTGGACATAATATATCGGATAAAAGAAACAGCCAAACTAAGGTAATGTTAGGTTTTAAAATCTGGGTAGGGCTACCGTTTGCTGTAGTGTAGGTGTTACAGGCTAAATTTTCCTTGCTATAGTGTCCTTGCTATTATCTCCCCTGTTATCTTTGAGTTTCCCTAGAGATTCCTTCTTATGTAGAGTCTGAGGCTTGTAGTTTTTTCACCTGTAATTCCCTGTTATTATACAATAGCCTAATTGATATAATAAGGTATGGGAGAAGGTATGTTCTGTAGTTCTGTGATTAAGTCTCAGTCAGTTAAGTTAGCCTGTGCCCCTGCTATGACCTTCACAAGTGCTTTCAGCTTTTTATTTTTTATTTTTGGTCCATTTGGTGAGACAGGAAGGCTAGAGGCAGCTGGAGTTGGGTACTTCCTTTCCCCTAGGTCAGCTGGGCTCTGGTAAAATAGTTTCCCTTGAGAGCTGGCTTTTGTTAAGGAGAATTGAACACTTGGGCATATTGCAAAATGGTTACTTTCCCCATTCTTGTACCAGAATTAAGAGGGGATTTTTCTCTGATCTTCACCTGAGAACCTGGCAGGTATTCTGGAGGTAAAACTATAAAAGTGTGGTGTCTGCCCTATGAGTGGGCAGACACCCCTGGAGTTTGTTTTAATTTAACAAAGTTTAATTGAGCAAAGAAAAATCTGTGAATTGGGCAGCTCCCAAAAGCAGAATAGGTTCAGAGTAACTGCAGTGTTGCCACACATGGTTAGATAACATTTGTGGACAGACTCCTGGAGCTTTTGATTCATTTTTTTTTTTTTTTTTTTTTGAGATGAAGTTTCACTTCTGTCATCCAGGCTGGAGTGCAATGGCATGATCTTGGCTCACTGCAAACTTTGCCTCCTGGGTTCAAGTGATTCTCCTGCCTCAGCCTCCCAGGTAACTGGTATTATAGGCAACTGCCACCATGCCCAGTTAATTTTTGCATTTTTAGTGAAGACAAGGTTTTGCCATGTTGGCCAGGCTAGTTTTGAACTACTGACCTCAGGTGATCCACCCACCTGAGTCTCCCAAAGTGGTGGGATTACAGGCATGAGCCTGCGTGGGGCTGGAGCTTTTGATTCTTAAGTCCATCCACACAGAGCCTCCAGCAGCAACTCAGGAATTACAGCATAAATGTTCCTACTGGTACTGGCTCCAGCAACAGGCTTCTACTCCCTGTAAGCTGTGGTTCTTTTTATTTGCCTCCCTAATTTGTGAGGCATTTTCTCTTTAACCTTAATTCTCTAATGGGTCTAAGTGTTGCTGATTTTTCAGTTTATTCACTTTTTTTATTATTGTGAGGATGGGAGTGAAGACTTCCGATTTTTTTTTTTTTTTTTTTTTTTTGAGATGGGGGTCTCACTCTGTCACCCAGGCTGAAGTGCAATGGCGTGACGTTGGCTCACTGCAACCTCTGCCTCCTGGGTTCAAGTGATTCTCCTGCCTCAGCCTCCCAAGTAGCTGGGATTACAGGCATGTGTCACCACATCCGGCTAATTTTTTGTATTTTTGGTACAGATGGGGTTTCACCATGTTGGCCAGATTGGTCTTGAACACCTGACATCAGGTAATCTACCCACCTCAGCCGCCCAAAGTGCTGGGATTACAGACATGAGCCACCATGCCCAGCTCCAATTTCTTTATATTAGAAAATATAAATCAGACTAGAGACTGGAAAAGTTTTTTTTTTGGTTGCTGTTGGTTTTTTTGTTTTTGTTTTTAGACAAGGTCTTGCTTTCTCATCCAGACGGGACTTCAGTGATGTGACCATGGCTCACTGCAGCCTTGATCTTCCAGGCTCAGGGAACCCTCCTTCCTCAGCCTCCTGAGTAGCTAGGACTGCAGGCATGCACCACCATGATGCCTGGCTAGTTTTTTTATTTTCTATGTGTTGTAGAGATGGAGTCTTGCTACATTGGCCAGGCTGGGTATTACTGGGTGTTTCTTTTTTTCATCCTTTATTTTTCTGTATTATTCAGTGAATAGTTGAGTGTTTATTCTCTACCAGGCACTGGAGATACGGGGATATAGCAATGAAAAAACAAGATAAATATTTTGTCCTTATGAAATTTATATTCTTGAGTGGGGAGACCTAAGGAACAAATAAAACAGGCATCAGATGGTGACAGGTAGCAAGGAGAAAAAGAGTAAGGGTGGTGGGGAATCCTGGGTACTGAATGGGGTACAGATATTTTAAACAGAGTGATAAGAAATAGCTAATACAACTAGCGATATCAAAAAGGAAGAAGATCAAACTAGAAACCGTTTTAGGAAGATAAATCCTTCACAGACCCGAAGAAGCTTACAACTTAGATGTCGAAACTAGTTTCTGCAAAAAGGGGAAAATGCAATTGACTTGGTTAAATATTCAGTATTAAATTTTATTGAATTTGTCTTTAGAAAAGTGTCATGGATAGACCAGGCCTTACCCATTTTGCACATATATACATATGTACCACCTTTGCAGTGGCAACATATATATCCACACTATACACACATCACATTTATAAAGTAATAATAAGGATAAGAAATGGAGTTGAATAAGTACCCCCCAAACATACACAAGAAAGTTAGCATAGTTTCCCTGTTTTTCACTACATCAGAGGCAAAATAAGAAATCTTTTAAGAAAATCCCAACAAGACAGGCTCATGGCAAACTGAATATGCTAAACTTGGAGGTTAATTTAAGCATGATATGTGTCAGGTAATTTTGTGATTACCAAAGAGTTTTTACTTGAAAACTAAGACCTTTGCTGTTTATTTCACAGTGTGAAATCAGTAGAACCTGAGGATACAAATCTCTGCAGTGATATTCTGTGTTCACTATTTTTATACATTTTTGAATGTAATTTTGCTAGGGAAGAAAAGCTTACAGATGAATAAAATGTAATTGGGAAGAGTAGCCATAAAAATCAATGAAATAAGTGGCTGGGCAAAAGTCTCTGCCATACTAATATGCTGAATGGCTAATAAGTTACTTCGTTTCGGCAAAACAAATACCTAAATTCTTCTTGAAGAATTAACAGGCCTGATATTCAGGTTTGCTTTTGGCAAATCGGCATTTAAATACTCCAGAAAGGTAAGAGCCAGAAAACAGGAAGGTAAACTATGCTTTTAGAAATACTTTTACTTAGATTCTCCCAAGGTTTATACATACAGGTAAATTTCTCTTGTAACAATAGCTCACATAGCTACATAGGAGAAGGAAATCTCAAGGGAAAACTGTTCATTTTAAACTTTGTTATTTAAGAAACAAAATCCAACACTCTCCCTCCCCCTGAAATAGATCAGAGTTCATGCTAGGATTATGGTTTCAAAAGTAATAATGATTCATCCAACAGATATTGAATAATAGCACTATTAAGATGTTTAAGAATAAAGCACAAACCATGTATATACAGACTTAACTAATTCTCTGAGAGTTATAACTTAAGGACAATGAAATAATTAAAATTAGTGTTAAATTAAGTAGAATTCAAATCTCTATAGATGGTTTCCTGGGAAAGTGGTTTTGATAAGCTTTCCTAGCGTTGGTCATCTTCAAAAAAGCATCAATAAACAGTCCATGTCACCTGCTTTAGTTTGTTTGGGCCTACTAATTGTTCTAACACTTCTCGTGAATGATCTATAAAAGAAAAACAATGAAACTATATTAATTCACAATAATAAAAAATGTTTAATGTTTCCTCATGTCTAACTGGAGGTGATGGTAACTATTATACAATTATTTAAAGGATTAAAGGAAGTGATTTATAAAGCACAGTATACAACTAACTCACTAATAATTAGTTAATGGTAGCCCTCACTATTATTAGGTATAGTGCACCTATCATGGTAATACTTATTTAAAAAAAAAACAAACAGGCATTTGTTGTTTTCTCTGTAATTTCATCATAATTTCACCAACCAGAATAATGATGTAATTTCACCATTAATCTGTGTTAATGGTTAATAACCTTTTTCAGGGTCTTAGCCAGCAAGAGATAATTCACTGAAGTGAGGTGGCTGAACAGAATTTAATGAAGGGAATATTTACCAAAAAAGTGAGCAGGATTAAAGAAAGCCAATAGGGATGTTAAAACCACCTTGGGAAGCTGTAACACACCCAGAGTTAGAGGAGGTGGCAGTCACCAGAACATGACAAGTTGACCTGTAGTTGAACATCTTTCCATGTCTGTATAATACTATTATAAAGCATGATTTTAAATAGATAACCATTATATAAATATACTGTAATTTAACCAATCTATATTATTGGGCATATAGATGGTTTTCAGTTTTCACAATGTACAGTCGTGATTTTGATATGGTTTCCATCTCGGTTTTAAAATTTCTTTACAAAATCTGAATTAAAGCAAAAATACTGACAAAATTTTGTTAGTTTATTCATAAGTTTAACAAACTTGTTCCCAGAGATACAACCTATGTCTTGTTTCATGCACAACATATCTCTAACCCAGTCTTGGAAATCCTATAATTTGGTGGTTCCTAGACTTACAGATTTCACAGACCAGAGGAGGGAAGAAAAAAATATGGGCTCAACATATATGGTGACCAAATTTTATTCTAAGTTAAACAAAATTAAGCAAAAATACCAAGGTTTATTGCCAGCAAAAGAACCAGAGAGTATCTAGAAATGAGAAGGTGTTATTGGGAAAACAAAGGTTTATAATTCAATTTTTTAAAAAAAGCAGCTAGTAAGATAAATGCAGTTTTATTCATGGTCATAAAATATTATTGGTTATTGCAGAGGAAATCTAAATCAAAGATAGGTTCAAACTATGTTGAAAGTAAAAGAATAGACAAAGACGTATCATTTAAATGGCAAACATGACAATGCTGGAGTGGCTATAGAAGAAGGGGGAACACTTTCCAATTCTTTCTGTGATATCAGTGTTACCCTGATACCAAAGCCAGACAAAGACATCATATAAAAATAAAACTGCAGACCAGGATCTTCTATTAATATAGACTAAAAAATGCTTGACAAAACACCAGCACACCAAATCCAGCCACTAGAAGAAAGGATTACATACCATGACCAACAGATTTATCATAGGAATGCAAGGTTAGTTTAACATCTAAAAATCAATTAGTATGATATACTGTATTAATGTTCTATTGATGCTATAACAATTACCACAAACTTAGTGGCTTAGCTAAAAGATAACTAGACGGGCGAAACTAGATGGCCCTTTGCATTCATGAGGAATAAATTTTTTTGCTATAAGAAACTTGCGGCCAGGCACCATGGCTCAAGCCTGTAATCCCAGCACTTTGGGAGGCTGAGGCGGGTGGATCACAAGGTCAAGAGATCGAGACCATCCAGGTCAACATGGTGAAACCCCGTCTCTACTAAATATATAAGAAAAATTAGCTGGGCCTGGTGGTGTGTACCTGTAATCCCAGCTACTCGGGAGGCTGAGGCAGGAGAATTGCCTGAACCCAGGAGGCGGAGGTTGTGGTGAGCCGAGCGCCATTGCACTCCAGCCTGGGTAACAAGAGCAAAACTCCATCTCAAAAAAAAAAAGAAACTTGCTTATGAGCACCAAAGATATTATTATCTTCCATAGCCACCTTTTGCTTAGCTGTCAATTTATTGTACAGAACTGATGATTTAGCTACTTATTTTTCTCCTTACCATGACGTCAATCAGACCCTGAAAACTATATATTCTTAGCCCTCAGATAATAAACTTGATGAGAGAGCAATGTCTCTTCATCTTTCCTGACCCTGCTTTTTGTCTCCTATTATTTCTAGCGCGCTCCCCATTCAGGTTGGAACCCTCTTGCTGGTCAAGAGTTCCTGGCAGATGTGGCGCCCGAAAACCATCTGCCGGGAACTCTTGACCAGCAAGAGGGTTCCAACCTGAATGGGGAGCGCGCTAGAAATAATAGGAGACAAAAAGCAGGGTCAGGAAAGATGAAGAGACATTGCTCTCTCATCAAGTTTATTATCTGAGGGCTAAGAATATATAGTTTTCAGGGTCTGATTGACGTCATGGTAAGGAGAAAAATAAGTAGCTAAATCATCAGTTCTGTACAATAAATTGACAGCTAAGCAAAAGGTGGCTATGGAAGATAATAATATCTTTGGTGCTCATAAGCAAGTTTCTTATAGCAAAAAAGTTTGTTCCTCATGAATGCAGGGGGCCATCTGGTTTCCCCCGTCTGGTTATCTTTTAGCTAAATTCTCCTTTTTTCCTGTCCTCGACTTCCCTATCTCTACTTCCCTCTGCCTAGGGGGCTCTGCTTCTGGGGTCAACCTCCCGTATAGTGAACACCTGCTTTGCAGTCTCACACGGGAGGGTCCCCAACATGCTATAACAATTACCACAAACTTAGTGGCTTAAAGCAAAAAGTTTGTTATTGTACACTTTTGAAGGTCAGAATTCGAAAATGGGTCTCACTGGGCTAAAATCAGGTGTGGGCAGGTCTGCATTACTTTTTAGAGGCAAGTCTGATCTTTTTTTTTTTTTTTTTTTGAGGCTCTACAGGAGAATCTACTTCCTTGACTTTTCTAGCTTCTAGAGACCACCACATTCCTTACATTCCTTCCTGCTTCTCTAAAGTGAGCAACATTGGGCAGAGTCCTTCTCAAGCTGCCATCTCTATGGTCCCTCTCTCTCCTTCTTCTACTTTTAAGGACCCTTATCATTATATTGGGTTTAGATAGATAATCCAGGATAATCTCCCTATTTTAAGATCAACTGATAAGCAACTTTAATTCCATTGGCAACCTTATGTAACATAACATACTCATATTTTGGGCATTAGAACATGGATATCATTTGGTGGGTGGGAGCATTATTCAGCTTACCATCTACACCATTCTAACAGAACAAAGAACTAAAACCACATGATCATCTCAATAGACAAAGAAACCATTTGGCCAGATGTGGTGGCTCACCGCTGTAATCACAGACTTTGGGAGGCTGAGGAGGGCGGATCACCTGAGGTCAGGAGTTAAAGACCAGCCTGACTAAGATGGCAAACCCAGTCTCTACTAAAAATCCAAAAAAGTTAGTCAGACATGGTGGTGGGTGCCTGTAATCCCAGCTACTTGCGAGGCCGAGATAGGGGAATCGCTTGAATTCAGGAGGCAGAGGTTGCAGTGAGCTGAGATGGTGCCACTGCACTCCAGCCTGGATGACAGAGTAAGACTCAGTCTCAAACAAAAAAAAAGAAAAGAAAAAAGAAACACCATTTGACAAAAACCAATTCATTCAACCAACTAAGAATAGAAGAGAACTTCCTCAACCTGATAAAGGGCATCTATGAAAAAACCATAGCTGGCAGGGTGCAGTGGCTCATGCCTACAATCCCAACACTTTGGGAGGCCATGGTGAGAGTATCACTTGAGCCCAGGAGTTCAAGACCAGCCTGGGAAATAGAGTGAGACCTTGTCTCTGCAAAAGAAATTTGAAAATAAGCCGAGTGTAGTGGCACATGCCTGTAGTCCCAACTACTCTGGAGGCTGAGGTAGGAGGAGCTGCTAGAGCCTGGGAGGCAGAGATTGCAGGGAGTGTGTTTACGCCACTGTACTCCAGCCTGAGCAACAGAGCAAAGCCCTGTCTCAAAAACAAGTAAGAAAAACCTATAGCTAATATCATACTTAATAGTGAAAAATTAAATGTTTTTTTCCTAGAATCAAGACAAGACCAGGATGTTCACTTTTTTTTTTTTTTGAGACAGAGTCTCACTCTTGTCCAGGCTGGAGTGCAATGGTGTGACCTTGGCTCACTGCAACCTCTGCTTCCCGGGTTTAAGTGATTCTCCTGCCTCAGCATCCTGAGGAGCTGGGATTATAGGCACCCGCCACCACACCCAGCTAATTTTTTGTATTTTTAGTGGAGACAGGGTTTCACCATGTTGGCCAGGCTGGTCTCAAACTCCTGACCTCAGGAGTTCGAGACCTGATTCACCTGCCTTGTCCTCCTAAAGTGTTGGGATTACAGGCACAAGCCACTGTGCCCAGCCAGGATGTCCACTCTTGCCATTTCTATCCAACGTTGTACCAGAGGTTCTAGCCATGGAAATTAGGCAAGAAAAAGAAAGAAAAGGCATACAGGTTGGAAGGAAGAAGTAAAACTATTTGTAGATGATGTTATATTGTATATACAATATCCCAAGGAATTCACTAAAAATAGAATAAATGAGTTCAGCAAGGTACAAGAACAATATATAAAAATCAAATGTATTTCTATACAAGAACAATTAATACTCCAAAAATGAACTAGAAAATAACTCCATTGATGTTACCATCAAAAAGAACAGAATACTTCAGAATAAATCGAATGAAAGTGAAAAACCTTTACTCTGAAAACCATATGACATTATTGAAAGAAATTAAAGATCTAAATAAACAGAAAGACATCCATGTTCATAGATCACAAGACTTAGTATTATTAAGATAGCAACATTTCCCAAATTCCTACAGTTTCAATGTAATTCATATTAAAATACAAGCTGGCTTTTTATTTTTTGCAGAAACCAGTAAGGTGGGCCTGGCAGGGTGGCTGACACCTGCAATCTCAGCACTTTGGGAGGCCACCGCAGGCAGATCGCTCGAGCTTAGGAGGAGTTAGAGACCAGCCTGGGCAACATGGTGAAACCCCATCTCTACTAAAAATACAAAAATTAGCCAGGAATGGTGGTGCACACCTGTTGTCTCAGCTACTTGGAGGACTAAGGTGGGACAGTCGCTTGAACCCTGGAGGTCAAGGCTGCAGTGAGCTGAGATGGTGCCACTGAACTCCAGTCTGGGTGACAGAGACCCTGTCTCAACAACAACAGAAATAAATTGATGATTCTACTATTTGTATGAGAATTGGAGGAACCCAGAACACTCAAATGCAATTTTGAAAAAGAACAAAATTAGAGACATACACTTCCCAATTTCATTTTAGCTTGTGTTTCTATAATTATTTTGGCATTTTTTCAAGTTGTGAATATGTTATCAAACATATGTATAAATATTTATCTTCTGTCTACATTTGTTACTCTTCTGTGGGAATTCACTATTGCACATTATAGGAAGATACTTTTCCCTCCAGTAGTATGTAACATTTTAATGTAATTTAAAATTTTTGATGCTAGATGGCAGTATTATATTACAGTCTACTTAGGCAGCTTCTTCCCATGAAGATAGAGTATTTAGGACTGTGGGTGTAAATAGTAGGAATATTCAGTGCCTTTATTATGCCTCAGGGAAAACTATGGGGTTGCTAAGTATTTCATAATCCCTTGGCAGAATATTTTATAGAGACACATACTATCCAGACTGAAAAAGAGCTAATGGGTCACTTATGCTAATCACATGACTGATGCTCGATGGCACCTTCCTATCTGTTTCCCTATCCTAGTAACAGTTAAGCCACTTTATACAAAAGGCTCAGGAAAGAATTATAGATTGTGGTTCAGATGACTTAGGTTTTACTTCCAGTTCTATCAACTATTTCTAAGATGTGGGGCAAACCACTTAAATCAATTGTATCTCTGTTCCCTTCTCTTTAAAATGAAGGAGTTGTATAGATGACCCTGTTGGGGCTCAGAAAACGAATCCCCAAAGTATGGTACTTTGGCATGCTGAGTACTTTGAACTAAAGGACATTGGAAGGCCTCAGAATCAGCCTCAAAACCAAGGTCTCTGACCTTTTCCTGCCTTCCTATCTCTTACCCTTTATTCTCCCCAGGGGAGTCACAGAAACCAGGATTCCTCTTCCCCCAGGTGGGTCAGAGAAACTAGAACCCTTTTCCCCAAAGTAAGCCATAAAACCTAAAAATATTACTCTCAACTTCCCCAGCCTTTCTACCTAGGAGGTGGCCATAAAGAAATTCTCTGATCTATCCTTGTTGGATAGGAGGTCAGAGGGGCCCCGCCCTGTACCCTGATTCCGGAGGGGCCCCACCCTGTACCCTGGAAAAAGGAATGCCACAAAGAAAGGCCAAGAAGAATCTGAACAAACAGGCCCTGCAGGGTTTCTCCACTCTGTTACTATTAGCTCATTCTCTTCTCCAATCACATTTCTACATGGCTGTCCATGCTTCATAAGCATAAAAACAAGCAGTTTTTCCTGGGTGTTTGGTTCTTCATTTCTGAAGTCTCCTATAAATCTTTGACTAAATAAACCTGCTATGACTTTCTCTTATTAACCTGCCTTTTCCTATAGGACTGTCAGCCTTGACCCTTATGATGGGTGAGGAAAGGTATTAAACCTTTCTGCCTCCCAACCTCTAAGCAACTGTTGACCACCTCTGTAAAAATCTATGACAATATAGATGACAAGATAAATGTATCTTTCAAAGATACACGAATCTTTGAAAGATTCATGGCAGGAGCATTTGGAGCACCAAGAATAAGAAGAAACTATGGGAAATACAAACTATTCACAAAGTATTTTTTTTCAAATGTTCAAGGAAAATGTAATTTAGAGTTTGTATGAGATGGAGTCTCGCTCTGTCGTCCAGGCTGCAGTGCAGTGGCGCAGTCTCAGCTCACTGCAACCTCCACCTCCTGGATTCAAGCAATTCTCCTGCCTCAGCCACCTGAGTAGCCAAGATTACAGGGGTGTGCCACCCTGCCCGGCTAATTTTTGTATTTTTTGTAGAGACAGGGTTTCATCATGTTGGTCAGGCTGGTCTCGAACTCCTGACCTTGTGATTTGCCCGCCTCAGCCTCCAAAGTGCTGGGATTATAGGTGTGAGCCACCATGCCTGGCCCAATTTAGACATTATTATAGAACACACCATGAAAAAAGTACGGCTTGAGCATATTTTTACAAATGATGATCGAAGTCCTAATGCTTCATTACAGTGATCTGGCAAAAAGAAATATGTCCTGCAGGATCAGGAATGAATGAATGATGAGAAAACAGAATATAGAATTAAGACAACTATGAAATAAAAAAATGAGTTATCCCTTTAAGCAAAGAATCAGCTTTAATTAAAGGGAAACCCTGAAGCAAACCACTTGGGTCTTAAAATACTATTTTGGGGCCAGGCGTGGTGGCTCAAACCTGTAATCCCAGCACTTTGGGAGGCCAAGGCAGGCAGATCACCTGAGGTCAGGAGTTTGAGACCAGCCTGGCTAACATGATGAAACCCCGTTTCTATTAAAATTACAAAAAATTAGCCAGGCGTGGTGTTGCATGCCTATAATCCCAGCTACTTGGGAGGCTGAGGCAAGAGAATCACTTGAACCTGGGAGGAGGAGGTTGCAGTGAGCTATCACGCCATTGCACTCCAGCCCAGGCAACAAGAGCGAAACTCTGTCTCAAACAAACAAATAAACAAACAATTCTGTTTTGGCTGGGCATGGCAGCTCACACCTGTAATCCCAACACTTTGGGAGGCTGAAGTGGGTGGATCGCTTGAGCCCAGGAGTTTGAGACCAGTCTGACCAACATGGCGAAACCCTGTCTCTATTTCTAAATAAATAAATAAAATTTTAAAATACCGTTTTTGGCTCTTTGTTGTAAATCTTGACGTTTATATTATCCAGAATCTCAGTAAAGAATTTGCCTTTAATTAGGTTGAAACAAATCCTCAGATATGACAAATTCAAGTCAACTAAATTGAAAGTGGCAGATTTCCTGATGGATTTTCCTGCCTCTCAGTGTAAAACATACGGACTCTCTAACTGCTTTATTGCCCTCTAAAATCCTCCGTGTCTTTGAATACTGTGAAACATGCTTAATTACAAGAAACAGAAATGCATGTCTGTTGTAGGAGATTACAAAGGTACAAGTTGAACTTACTGCCAATCATTGCAGACATAATTGAATTAAAATCATTTAGTAAGTTTAAAAACTATTTTCATAGCTGTTATGACATCTATAAAACTATAATTTTCATATTTCAAATAGCAGCTTAGTTTTTCTCTTCTGCAGAAACTAAGTCATAGTGCTTCTAACAGTTTCAAGTCTTAATTGATAATGTGAAGTTATATTTTAGTCTGACTAATGTTAAGAAATTTTATAAATACTTAGAAACATAGTAGAGAAGATAGGTTAATTCAGGAGATCTGATGGAAAATGACAGTGAGCACTGCTAATTTAATTTGCGAGTCAGGTTGTTTTGAGGGTAACAATATTATAATTGCACATGCATATGCAAGTATAGTAAATACTTTCTATAGAGTATACATGTTATTGTCTTAAATACTTATATGTGAGCAATCATATGAATATATAAGAGGAATCATGTTATATAAAGTGTCATAAGAAAGAAAGGATTTCCATTTATCTAACAGAAAAAAAAAAACCCCACAAACACAACCAGCATTTATCTTCCTTGGAAAAAGAAGAAATTAAAAATCAAATGTAAGGTGAACATGTTAGCCCACTTTATTTCCATTCAATAATGTTAGCAAAAATATATCATTATAGAAGATTTAGGGGTATTGATGAGAAAGTGGGAAAAGTAGAAATGATCTACGTAGTTAAAATTTCTTCAGCTTTTTTCTCTGTAAAGAAACTTTATTAATAAAAGCCATTTTATATCAACTATTTAAAAAAATTTATTTTTTTGATAAGGTTGAATACATTGTATGAACTCTTGTATTATTATGTTTATTTTTTTTAATTTTTGAGATGGAGTTTCACTCTTGTTGCCCAAGCTGGAGTGCAGTGGCACAATTTCAGCTCACTACAACCTCTGCCTCCCTGGTTCAAGCAATTCTCCTGCCTCAGCCTCCCAAGTAGCTGGGATTACAGGCATGCACCATCACGCCCGGCTGATTTTTGTATTTTTTGTAGAGACCGGGTTTCACCGTATTGGCCAGGCTGGTCTTGTAGTCCTGATCTCAGGTTATCTACCCGCTTTGGCCTCCCATGGTGCTGGAATTACAGGGGTGAGGCACCACGCCCAGCCTCTTGCATTATTATTAATATTAGATCTCTCAATGTTATGATAATTGGCCAATATGCACATGGGAAAGTTGAGATCCATAAGAGTAAATGATGCATTCGATGTTTTGGAGAGATGGCAACAGATGGGGTCAGTGCTCATTTTGCTATATCTTAA